AAATAAAAATTCGGTAAAACGGAAAAAAAAAACGAAATTTGGTAAACTGACAGCACATATTGTGACAGTTTAAAAAAAAAATAGAAAGAAAATTACGCGGTATTGTTCTTATCTTTATTTTTGTGTGTTTAACACCCTATATACACTTTAAATTCTCGAAATAAAAATTAGAAAACCGAAAAAAAATTCCACGAACTCCATGTATTTCGTAAATAAAATAAGGCAATTGAAAAAAGAAAATCATTCTGGATAGTTCTAACTTATTTTTCTTGAATATTAACACCCTCTTAAAAACCTAGTTTTAAACAATAAATAATACCATAATGAAGATTACAATTTTAAAACCTAAATGAATTTAGATTTCTGCATATAAATATTTTGTAGATTAACACGTTACAAAATACGTTCTTCCTAATAATAAATATATAATAACTCAAAACTATTTTTTTCCGATTACTCCTGAGTTTCTATTTAATATATGTTTGGTATTCCAGTTAAAAACTGGTAGCAGAGATTATTCGTAGTCAGTATGACAATTGACTATAAGCGGTCAGATACGGACTATATGAAAAGCAGGTTTTAGTTGAGGTAATGTTTCTTTATAATACAAATAAAAAACGACTTTAAAAAAAAAAAGTTGTAGTTTGTTTTATACTTCCACTGCAAGCTGAGCACAAGTAATGGAGACATGCTCCAGTAACTGCAGTTTACAAGAAGTTAGTACGCAAGTAATTAATATAAAAAAAATTTAGACTTTCGAAGATACATTGCATTATTAACATGCAGTCTTAATTTTAATTTAAAATATATTATCAAAAATATTTAAAAAATCTTCCATCTTTTCCCCCTAAATAATAAAACCCTTTTAAGTTCGTTTTACTTTTATATTTCCCAATTTATCACCAGAACTACTTATTCTTATCTTATATTTTTGCACAAATTCATAAAACTAATTTAACCAAAGATATAATGACCAAGAAGATATAACTAAGATGTATTGCACCATACATATGATGACCGAGAAAATTTAGAAAAAAAAGTATTTAAAGTTTTACGTCCACTGAATATAATTTTAAATGACAAAAACTAAATAATGATAGACATCGGTTAAACAGTTTCGGAGTAATAAAATTTTAAAAAGAATAGTTTTTTTAAAAATTTTTTATTCGTCTTTTTCAGGCAATATTAATTTGAATTCCGACTTTTAAAATTACAATGCAGGTGCAAATATAAATTTAAAAAAAAAATTGCTTGTAAATTAAAAATTGCTTCACAAAAAAAGAAAGAAATTATTTACTAAGTAAAATATTTTAATCCTCACAGTTAAAAGTATTTTTGGATTATAATTAGATAATGAAAAATAAATCACAATTAAAAATAATTTTGAGTGAAAATCATCTTCAGAAAAAAATTTAATTTTTTAAATTTACTTAAAAATGTTTTGTTCCATAGACAGCTCTAGAGATATGGAGAAATATACAACAAGTAAAATTAACAGTAAGAATCTCAAATTTAATATGTTTTCCACGCTCTGGACACTTCACATAATTAGTAATAATTAGTGGCTCCTGAAACATGTCAGAGGAAAAAAAAGTTATATTTATTTATATTAAGTAAGTTATTGTGTCTAATTTTTCAACTTAAAATATCGTCTGTACCAATTAATTAATATATTTAATGTTTAGAAATTGTGCAATTAAGATTGCATCTTAGGAGGTGAAAATCTGATCATTAGATCAAAAACTATTGAGGGTGCTTTTTTGTTTTTGTTTGGTGTACTGCACAAAATACAATGATGAATTGATAAAAAAACAGGTAAATATAAAACTATAATATGTAAATATAAGACTTTCAGAGTAAGAATTGAAAACAAACATTAAGCAAACTTATAAAGCTATAACTATTTTATTTAGAAAAATATTACACAAATATTTCCACCGGATACAACTTAACACAAATATTTTAAATTTGTATAAAAATCAATTATATAAATACAAATAAAAAATAACAAACCTCACCATAAAAGGAAATAAAAATAGAAAAAACAACCAAATAATGATTTAAAAATTTAGGCAGTCAAACGTGTTTTGTAATTGATTAAAAGTATACAACATTAATATATGCTCAAATAGAATTATGATTTAGTTAGAACAATTTATTTATGCAAAATAAAATAGTAAAGTATAAATTTTATAATAGAAATGATAAAAATAAGAAAAAGCAGGTAAAGTTTTGAAAAATTGATAATATTGGAACTTCAGAAAAAATTGATTTTATAAATGCAAAACAACAATAATTAACTAATAATACAATATATTATTTTACAATCTAATGTTAGCTAAACAATAAATCTAAAATGACTGCATAAAATGTAATTTTTCTTTTTTTTTTGATTTTTAGATTTCAGATATAAAATTTTGATAAAGTACCTAATATAGATTACATACATTCCTTATAACAACTGTATACGATTATCACAGAGATTATAAGATCATCAAAAATTGAATAATTTAATAACAGCTGCTACTAAATTAAGAAACATTTGTACATTAATAAAAACCTGAAAAATTATAAATATAAAATATGGAATGTAAAGTGTGAGCTCCTCCGATCTTCACAAAAATAAAATTAGAACATAAAAGAAAGCTGTGAACTTTTTAAAGACAATGCTAATAAAAATGAGAATTTGAGTTGATGTATAAAAAATGAAAGAAAACAAATTGGTAAATTTAGAAAGCAAGTTGTGCTTAAAACAAATGCATTATAAATACAATTTTGATTAAAAAAAAATCCTAACCAAAATTAATAACAGTAACACAGCATAAAGATAATCTTTGTAGGTCATACTTTGAATAATAAAAAAGAAAGTTTTTTATTTAAATGCATATAGATAATTAGAAAAATGACAACCTTAATTGTTTCCATTTTTAAAGCAGGTTAGTATACACAAACACATGGAGAAAAAAAAGAGAATATTTTTAAAACAACTATTAGGAAAAAGTATTAAAAAAACCCACAAAAAGTAAACATAAACCTTTTCCAGAAAGTGCAAAGAGTAAACATAAATAATTTGTAAAAAGTAACTAGAATAAGAAAATATTTTAGAATTGTAAACCAAAATCCCACTTGGAAACAAAAATATATAGTTGTAATTTAAAATTACAATATTAAAAATAGACTATTTTCTATTTTATATTACATTATGTTCATACAAAAATTATGTACATTATTCAGATCTAACGTAAGTTTTTTTTTTTTGGACGGAATTAAATGTATTTGAGATTCACAAAACAGAAAAATGCAGTAAATATGAAATTAAAATATTGCATTGAAATAAATTTTAACATATTAAAAGTTTATAAATGAGTGCCACAACCTATTTTAATCATTTATATAAATAGGGGAGGGGTAAACTCAAATACATCATTTTCACACCTGCCATAAAAAATTTGTTTGAATATGATGATTTTATAATGAATAGATCTACATAAACTGAGATTAACAAAGCATGAATAAAATATTGAAAATAAACTTAAAACATCACACTAAATTTAATTTTGTCACACTTTGTATTTGTATATATGTGTATGGAATATGAAACAAAGTTTTTATGAAATAGATGTGAAAAGAGGAAAATAGTAACATTAATAATTTCTAATTTTGTAATTTAAAAAAATAGTTTTTACCCTATCTCGATATAATAATTCAAATTTATCACCGTCCTTTTTTCTGGATGGATTTGCGGGCATTGAATTGAATGAAACATTAAAACTAAGTTATCATATTAAATTTGACTTTAACAGATAAAAAATCTATACATGCATCTGAGTTACTAACTAATGTAACATTTTTCATCAGGGTCCTTCTAGTTTTTTAGGCACTATGTCAAGGTAAAATCATTATTTTGTACATAACTCTCTATACTGTCCATAACTAGACTTTGTAGAAGTACTTAAATAATACAAAAAATAAAGAGAAAATAACAATAAACTATAAGACAAAATTCAATGCCTATTAATTACACTTTTATTAAATGTGAATTCATTTTTTTTAAAATACATGCTTAATGAAAAATTATTGAATTGAAATGATTTTGTCTTATCATTCCTATCTCAAACAATTCAAAACCAGATATAGTATAATTTTATATAACCAATAGCAAAAATTATAATAAATGAAGGAAAAAAATTTCTAATAATTTTTTAAGATTGCATAATTTTATTAATATAATCTTAAAAATATAATGAATAGTGGGTTTCAATTGATATTGTATTAATATTTAAAATAAATTACAGTAAAAAATATAGTTAGAGGTTTATTTTTTATATGCTATATGATTGCAATGCATCATATTTTCATTCATTTCATTAATGAATGTCCTACGATTTCATTCATTAGACTCATGTGACATTTTCATTCCTATGACATTTGGAGTTTTAAATGATTATGAGAAATTATTTTAAGAATTATAGGTTTTGAAAACTTTAGTAAACTTTTGGGCAGTAAATCCCAAATTCCCCATTTTAGATGGAAGAGAACTCAATTTAATCAATCATTACCACTTTATCAATGATTTATTTAAATATAAAAATTTTATTGGTGAAAGAATTACATGTAAGATTCATAAAGTAAAACGTTAGAACTAAATATAAATTGTTGCATTAGATTCAACTCTGTTAGATTTTAAATTTATACACACACTAAATAGGACACATTATTTCTATACACACAACATGGAAAAATGAACACAAGTAACTTCATAAATATTGTTTGATTTTGCAATAATAAAAGAATTTCCTATTTTTCAATCTCTATAGAGTAATTATTCAAATTTAATAAATCACAGGTCTTCTGATTCTGGACGGAATTGCAGGCTATGAGACTCATGAAGCATAAAAAAATGTTAAATTACGTATAAATATTGTATTGATTAAATTTTATCTGATTTAAAATTCGCACATACATGTGAGACATAAGCTATTATAATCACAATATTAAGAAATATTTTCTTAATAAAATAACAAATTATAAACAATTGGTTTGAACACAATTTATAAAACAAGATGCTAAAAGTTTTAACACAACCAACCATTTTAAAGTACAGATATATGATCCTTGTAAAGAAATGTCAAGCAAAAAATGCTTTTGAATGATATATCTACATAATAAGCCACATTCCTAGTTGCTATGAAATATCCATGGCAAATAGGCAAGATATTTCCAAAAGGTAGAAAGCTATATTACAATATTTAATTTCAAGTTAAAAAAAATTGATTTTAAAAAAATTACCATATCAGCATATAAATAATTAAAAATAAATATATAGAAGATCTGAAAATTTATTGGTAATGCCTAAGTTATAAAGAGATCTAAAAAAGAAAATTCTAACTATTCAATACTTGTACCATAGATGAATATAATAAAATTTGGAGGGTAACATGTCATGTACATTATTCACTATACATGAGTCTGCATATTAACATATTACAAAACAGAAAATCATAATACTGAAAGTGTTGTCGTAAAACTAGAAATAACACAAAAATTTTAAAAGTACGAAGAAGAAAAAACTTTGAGAAGATGCAGCGAAATGTTTTACAAAACATTCATGATGTTTAACATTTACACATCCAATCATATTAATAGAAAATATATATCTATAAATGATCATTTGAGTTAATGTCTCAAAAATAAAGTGTGATGAACTGTACATTTTAAAAATATGTGTAGTAGTACATTTAAAAAAAAAAAAAAAATTACAATTGCTTGACTCAAAAGACTTTTTTGAGGAGAAATAACCATAAAACTGGTATCAAAATGTAGAATAATCCAAAGGGCTTAATGCTCACACCAGAAAGCTATAAGAAAAAGAATAAATTTAAGTTAAAATAAAATTCAGAAAAAAACTTATCCACATGAAAAATTTCATAATCTATACCCAAAGACCATAGTAAAACTTTCAAATACATTAGTAAATGACTCTAACTATCTCAGGGGTCAGTCCAGACATTTTGTAAAAGGTCCGTTATTGTAAAGTTGTGAAAAAATTACTCGTAATTTGTGAATATAAAACAAACATTAAGTCACATTCTTTCAACCAGGATCCTGCTTTTATGAATTTGGGCAAATAGGGTCCTTATTGCAAAAAACTTTTTCAAGGAGTTTTTAAATTGTAAATAGATACAAAATTACGTTAAACACTGTCAAACTATAATTAAAAAATAAATCAATTTTCAAAAATAAACAGCAATTGCTGCTTCTAAATTAGAGATGTAACATACAAATATTTGATATTTAGCCTATATTGCTGAACGCAGAATATTCATTTCGAACGAATATAGGAAGAAGCGTCTGCCGAAGACAAAACTTAATTCGTTTACATTCATCTTTATTCCCCCCCATAATCGAATAAACCCTTCTCAAAGGGTTTATTCAATTAACAAAACAATAACGAAGATGAACAAATTTGTGAAGGGTCCGTTTTTAAGTCAAAATATTTTGTGAAGGGTCCGTTAACGGATCCAAATTTCTTCTAAACAGACCCCTGTATCTATATTAAATATATTAACTGCGGAATTGGAAAGGTAAGTATTTGAACTTTGAACAAATGAATAAAATCCATTATCTTCAACATTAAATGGAACCTTAATTATAAAATAGGTACAGAAAATATAATAACAGCTGCAACACAGATTCAATGTTATTTATCATTCAGCTCACTTAATGCTATCCAGCCAGTAATTCTTAAAAAGTACATTTTAAAAAGAAACTTGTAATATATTTGTATTTACCTAGAAAATTTACATCTTACTTTACAAACTTATCAATAGGGTAAAGTCTTTAAAAAAAGGTAACATATAATTCAACAATACTGTATAGTTTTGCACATAATAAGCAGGGATGAGAGTAGTTGGAAAGTAAGTAAAAAAGAGGAAATTCAAGAATGAATATATATATACAGTACAGAACCCGTTATCCGGAAATCAGAAAACCGGAAGACCAAAAAACCGGAACGAAATTCGATAAATTTTCCTGCCATTTTTAAAAAAAAAATTTTTTTTCCTCATAAGATTTTAGGATTTTTCTTTCTATTTTGAAAGATGTTTACCTTACCATCATTTTGGAAATAATCATTAGTGTATTACTCCATCGTTTTTTCTTCTTTTTAAGATTATTTCCAAAAAAAAATTTTTTTTAGTTGGGTTTAACAATAAAAAAACGGCTTTTTGTAGCGATTCAGAAAACCGGAAAAATCAGTTATCCGGAATAGTGATGGTCCCGATCGTTCCGGATAATCGGTTCCCTACTNACCATGTGATTATAAGTCCTGAAATGAGGCTTTTAAATAACGTGAATATGAAACTCTATATCGAATTTAAAAAATGCGAAAATACAAATCATGATGCGTAATTTTTAGATCACGTAAATATGAATCACGATGCGTAATTTTTAAATAGCACGAATACGAATCCCACTGTCTAATTTTTAAAGCACGCATTAATAGGAAAATTGATGTTTGATATTACAACCGCAAAAACGAATCATGACATTGTATTTTAAGCTAGCGTGAATATGAATCGCTACATAGGGTTTTAAAAGTGCGTAATTACAAATTGCGATATTGGATTTTTAAATCTTGTAAATAAGAATAGCAATGTATGACATTTAAATAGCCTGATTAAGAATCGCAACGTTCAACTTTTAAATCAGGTAAATACGAAAACCAATGTTTGAGGGAGGAATGAGGACTTCAATACTTTCGCTTCGCAGAAAATGTAATTCCTCATAAAATATTTTAACTTGTGCAAAAAAAAATTTCAGCGGAAATTAGCGGGAAAAATGGAAAAAAAAGCGGGAATCCGAGGAAGAATCACATCCCTGAATAAGGGACTTAGTTAAAATATATGATACATAAAAATACAATAAATCTCAAATAGATTCAAAACATAAACTCTTTTAATTTTATGAGCTTAGAAATAAAAATTAAATTTAAAGTGCATTAAAAAATAAAATACATTTTCAAATAACAAACCAGTTACAACTAATGTAAGGAATTTAATATTTTTTCTATGTGTTTAGTTATTAAAAATTAATATGTATACACAATATAAATAAAATCATTAAAATGAATAATCTTAAAAAAACTAAAATTTAAAGAATTACATTTCAAAGATACTTTAAAAAAACAAAAAAAAATTTTGGGGATATTGTTTTTCTAAAATTATTTTTAACTAAGATGATCCACAAATTAAGCAATCTAACTAAATGAGAAACTGTAACTGGTAGACACCAGTTGAAATTGCTGTCTCAATTTTTTCAGGAATAACCTACAATTTTAAAGTTTTTTTTTTTTTAATTTTCATATATTTAGTAGCAATCTCTAATAAAATTCAGGAGATTATCTATAAATATAGAATTTTAATTAATCTTAAAGAAGTCAAGCATCTCAAAATAACATGATGGGTGACAAAATAACGATTATAATGGATTACTTACAGTGACAAAATAGTTACAACGATCACCATGGCAGCATTCCACACATTCCCAATCATTGTACCAAATCCTATCACAACGAGTGCTAACAGCATGAATAGATGATCGGCACTCATATTCAGTGGCACACCTTTTTGAGATATAAAACTGTTTTCTACCAGTTGAATCCCAATATGGAGTGCCTATGCAATATGAGTTAAAATATTATTGATTTAGGAATAGACAGATCAAAATATTAATCAGTTAGTAAAAATTATAACAAAATGATTGAGAATTTAACACAATATTCATATGAATATTTTATGACAATATAACTAGTTTCAAAATGTAATTTTTTAAGAAGTGTCAGCAAAAAATTGCTTCATAAGTAAAGAAAGAGTAAAGAAGAGTTTTAAAGAGTAAAGAAAAGTCCGAATCTTTTTTCAATTTATCTACATTGCTCAGATAAATTAAGAAAGTTGAAATTAATGTGCTGTCAAAATCTTAGTATATGGGGCAAGACTATTTTTAGTTAGTGGCGATTTGTTTTAAATAGCACTCAGGAAAGTAGACCTCCCTGCTTTATGGAAGAAGTATTTTGTTGAGTGTGTAAAAAGATTTATTATATCCCTGGAATAAATTTTTTAAAAATGCATTTATTATTACTGAAAATGATGATAAGAGATCAGCGAAATTTTAATGTATTTTGGTGGGAAGACATGATATACATTTTAAAAGAACTTCAATGTGTTTATATTTTATGAGCTTATTATTAATTTTTTTACTATGACATGCATATTTACCCTCGTTAAATGCTAGTGTTGTGACAGAATGGTAACAAAACTGTTGCCCGGAGATTAACATTTGATATAGCTGACGTTTTTTATTTATTTATAAAATGCATGTTTTGTACTAAAAAATGTCTGTAATACAAGCAAATTTTAAATACAAAAGGGTTGCAATAATTGATTCGTTTTTGGCATGGGACGAAAGGGGAAAGTATTGGCTAGAAAAAAAATCACCAAACATCGGGAACAGACACATAACAAATCATTTAAAAAACGTTATTAAAGAAACGGCAAACCAATATTCATTCAATAAATTTAAGATTGATGATAAAAATATGATTTGAAAAGAATAAAAACAATAATTGCATTTATTACAGCAAATTATCTAACAAAATAATAGTACCAAATAGTTTGAGCAAATATATAAAATTAAATTTTTAATGGAATTCCAAATAACAAAAAGTAATATTTAAAATGAAATCAGAGATGATCTCCCTAAAAAAAAAATTTAAAAAAGAACAGGGTACTTTAGCAAAAACAAGAGCGCCTTCCATTTTGAAGGGCACTAATCTCCCTAAAAATATTAATTATATCTAGCTAGATCATTGCCCATCAAAACTGAATTAAGAATATTCAAATAATATGAGAAATAATATTTTATATTGACTTTTAAATTACGAAATGGAATATTAATAAAAATGCAAACTTTGTTTTAAGCATAACTGAGTTGAGGGAGAATAAATATTTTGTGTAAAAAATATTTTTTGTAAACAATTTTCAGTAAAAATTGATTTCCAACAATAATTTAACAATTAGCTTTAAAATATAATAAAATAAATGAACATTGAATGATAATGTGTCATATTTGATACATTGAAAAAGAATTTTACTATATATTGAAACTTAATTAAAAATTCTAACAAGAAAAAAATAAAGCTGACTATGATAAATTTTATATATAACTTTTTTAATAAAATAAATTTTAATATTTTTTCAGGAGAGTGGCACTAGCACAAAAATATAGGCTCGAAATTAACGGTGGTCGGTTGATTTAGGATCACCAAAATTTCATCTGAACCACCAAAAAGTAATTATCAATGTCTATCAGGCAAGCAATCGATGTAAAGGAATTTTATGCTGTTTAATGATTTGAATTTAGGCAAGAATAACATATTCCCTCATAATTGAATACATTACCTTTTCACTGTACTGTAATTTTTAAATTCGTGTCATTAACTTAAAAAGAAAATAATAATAACTATTTGGGATATGTAAATGGACCAGTAAAAATATGTAGGAGTCTTGCAATATTTTCTTCAGACAAGTGACTAAATTTTCTCAATCTCTACTCCTACTACAGTGTATAAGTCAACAATAAAGAACCTTTTCATGCGTAGAAAAAAAAAACGCTTTTACAGCCATGGTAATATCAACAGTAAACTTTCAAGTATTGTAAAGTTATAAAATCTTAACTTACTTCCCCATCTTATTTCTGAAAGGCACCGATCTTCAGCTATATCACAAGTTTTAATAGTTTTAACACACTTGTCATAATTGCTATCTTGACTGTCACAAACATAACATTCAAGGCCAAAAATAGCTGTTAATTAAATAAAATTAATAAATAACATGTAAAACACTATAACTCAATAAAAATATGTTATATTTATATTTCATGAGTATAATAAAAATAACTATGACTTATAAGTTGAAAAGCTTAAAATATCATTTTAATGAATAATATCATTTTAACTGGTTACATAGAAAACAGGGTTGGGTTTTTGACGTCAAAAAGTGGTTTTTGACATGACAAGGGTATAATACTGGTTTAAACCGTCAAAAATCTGTCGAAAACGTCAAAAACTGAAGTTTGCCAAGAAAATATATAAACTTCAAAACTACCAACAGTTGCCATCAATTTAATNTGACTTATAAGTTGAAAAGCTTAAAATATCATTTTAATGAATAATAACATTTTAACTGGTTACATAGAAAACTGTGATTTTCAACATAAAGTCATATTTTAAAAATCAAGAACATTTTTTTCCTGTTTCACTTTTGCTTTTTTTGTTAACTTTTCGTTTTATTAGCATTTTTATTACAACACAGTAGTTTTTTAAAGAGTGTTTCTTATCAAAGTTATTCTTTTATGCTCAGTTTTTTCTAAAATAAAGCAATGTGAAAAAGTTAAAATGAGATTTTTAGCATTGAGTTTTTCGTTTAAAAATTAAGAAGAAATTCTGATTTGGTTTCTATCTAGCTTTTTCTTTCTCAGAAAAATTCTGCTTTTATCTACATTTTTGTTATGACATACAATTTACAAGACGGTTTCTATTAGACTTTATTTTTCAATTTATATTGATAATACGGTAATTAGAAAACTGAGACATTCAGCTTTAAAATTTTCATACCCAAAATTAAGATCGATTTTTAGTTTTTATGTTTCATTTTTGAAAGCATTCTTTTAACATTTTATGGAAGGTTTTTTTTTCTTTCTGAAAAATATTATTTTAGCATTAAGAATGAAGAGAATTTTTTTTCAATTTTACAACTTCAGTCAGTGCTAGTCAGTTTTTTATTAATTTTAAATACTTCTAATGAATAACTATTATAGCAGAGTTCTTCCTAAGAATGAAAAAAAAAAAAAAAAAGGCAGGAACCCTACCTCTCAGAAAAGGGCATGTGCAACAATTGATTATGTGTTTGATCCTCAACAATATTTAAATTACCCTCTTATACTATTTTATGTGTATATTTCAAAAAATAATTCTCACTCATGATCAGAATANTATTTAACAGAAAGCACTTAAATTTGTATTGTCTTATGTTAACTATGAATTTAAAAAAATTGAAGATTTAAAATTCAGAATTACTGATTTTTCTGAAAAACTAACAACCAATCACAAAAGTCAAACGAAACAGAAGAACATTACAGTCACTGATCCATGAAATATATAAACAAATTATTATGGAAATTTTTTAATTACCCTAATTAAACACATAATTTTAAAAATTAGAACATGCATCACATTACATAATCAAAATGAAAATGATGGAAGTAGAAATTTAATTCAAAATTCAATAGTCTAGTTCATTTGCTCCTCGCAGCATACGGTAGCACACAACTAGTTCTGAACATTTTTCCACCACCAAACAAAGTATGTTGAAAGCGGTTCACTAATCCCCCTCCCCCCAGTTTACTTTAGAAGAGCTAAAAATAGACAAAAATTCCCTGATTGTGAATGTTGCATGTGCCCAACCTGTTTAAGAGATTTTTCTTTAAAAGATGTCTAATGTACAAAACTGCTAATGTTCATCTTTAAAAATGTCAAATTTTTAGTATAATCTATATTATAGACTAAATTTGGTTTTAAATAAATTTCTTAATAATATCACTGCAGATTTTCAATAACACATGAAAATGAATACATAATATTACAAAAGATGTGAGCTTTCAAAAGTACAAGATTTTGGTTACTATTCAAAATATAAGTGTTTCTTCAAAATTTTAAATTTATTTTTTCTAGAACATATTTAGAAACACTATCCTTTATAAAAAATATATAAATTTTATGTATTAATTAAATTTCACATATGAATATAGGTTTTTGACATTTTCGACATTTTTGACAGTGAGGTTTTTGACGTGACGGTTTAAACCATGGTTTAAACCGTCAAAAACTGTCACATGTCAAAAACCTGCCAACCCTGATAGAAAACTGTGATTTTCAACATAAAGTCATATTTTAAGAATCAAGAACGTTTTTTTCCTGTTTCCCTTTTGCTTTTTTTTGTTAACTTTTCGTTTTATTAGCATTTTTATTACAACACAGTAGCTTTTTAAAGAGTGTTTCTTATCAAAGTTATTCTCTTATGCTCAGTTTTTTCTAAAATAAAGCAATGTGAAAAAGTTAAAATGAGATTTTTAGCATTGAGTTTTTCGTTTAAAAATTAAGAAGAAATTCTGATTTGGTTTCTATCTAGCTTTTTCTTTCTCAGAAAAATTCTGCTTTTATCTACATTTTTGTTATGGCATACAATTTACAAGACAGTTTCTATTAGACTTTATTTTTCAATTTTTATTGATAATACGGTAATTAGAAAACTGAGACATTCAGCTTTAATATTTTCGTTCCAAAATTAAGATCGATTTTTAGTTTTTATGTTTCATTTTTGAAAGCATTCTTTCAACATTTTATGGAAGGTTTTTTTTTCCTGAAAAATATTATTTTAGCATTAAGAATTAAGAGAATAGTTTTTCAATTTTACAACTTCAGTCACTTTTAGTCAGTTTTTTATTAATTTTAAATATTTCTAATTAATAACTATTATAGCAGAGTTCACCCTAGGAATAAAAAAGATAAAAAAAGGCAGGAACCCTACCTCTCAGAAAAGGGCATATGTAGCAATTGATTATATGTTTGATCCTCAACAATTTTTAAATTACCCTCTTATACCATTTTTATGTGTATATTTCATTCATGATCAAAAAAAAAAAAATTTTAGTTTATAAAAATAATTAAAAACATACTAAATTTCTGTGCATAAATTTTTTTGAAAAAAATTATGAATTGAGTTTACATGATTAAGTTTGAAAACTTTTTTCCATAATTTAAATTGAAAATTATGAGAAAAGGAACATTTTAAGGTATTTTTTTTAAAAGGTGCTTATTTAAGAAATAATTTTAAAATCATAAAAAAATTTAACGAATTGAGAATAATTCTAACAAAGTAAATATTTGTAAGAGTAATAAGGACTAAACCTATGAACAAATAAACAGAATAAAAGAAACAGTTATTTTAAGGGTTGACGTTTTATTTGTACAAAAAAGGGCGCATTTATGGAGATCAAAGGGCGGACAGGACGGTCCGCCCTAAAACGCTTAGGGAAAACACTGATTATAGTTTTTTTCCCCTTTATCAATAATATAGTTTTGATTATTTTTCGATAATGACAAAAATTATTTATAAATAAAAAATAATAGTTGCTAGCTTTTTTTAAAAAAAATAATTTTGCTATTCAGCTACCAAATATTCGGTATTCGGCCAAATCACTATTCATTACAGCCCCACTTCTAAATTTAAAATCTTACTAAAAAATTTAATTAATGTATAAAATAATATTGACTTTTGTTGAAATTTTAAAAAATAATAGTAAAAGATACACATATATAATACTTCTCACTGATGCTTTAAGCAATATAGCTAAATTATAAAATAATTTTTGTTTTCAAATTACTATGTCTTTAACCTCATGACAATCTAGGAAACAAAAATAACAACATTGTTTGATTGCTTCATTTCTATCAATCCTTCCATACACATAAGCTAAGAAAAAAGCAACTGAAAGTTCGAATTTTCATACTTTTCTTTATTTATCGTTAAAACTGGAGGCAATAAATCAAATACTTCATAGCAAAAATTGTGTAATTTTCTTTTTGAAAATTAATAATATGTAAAATAAGAAGGTATTTAGCAAAATATTAGGCTGGGAAATAATTATGCTCTGAGAATCTTTTTGCGTCATTCTTATTTAACAAATACAGAAATTTTCAACATTCAACTGTTATCCTGATCTAATACACAAATACAAATAACAATTCAATGAACTACGAAACTGGCTGTACGTTTATTCTCAAGGATTCTTAAATTTTATTTATTTTTTTGGAAACGAGACCCACATCTTTTCTTGACACAAACAATATGCTTATTATAACTCTGAGCATGAATAATGTAAATCAGCAGCCCATTGCCTTAATTTTTATAAAATTGATAGAATTCGGAAAAATTCAACTGGGCGGGGCTGTTTAACTGGAAAGTTAAACTAAATTTTACACTTCAGACAAATATAAATCACTTACTCGATGGCAAGATGCAAAAGATTGCTAGTAATGACCACATAGTTTCTAAATTAAGATAAATCATTTAGGAATATTAATTTAAAACAGTTTGATTAATAAATCATGATTTCACATAGGTGATCATGTATCACACCACTACTCTTTTTTTAGTAATGTTGCATCACTACAGTTAGTTCTGACAACTGATAATGGTCTCAAATAATTTAAACTGCAGAAGTTCTGATCAGAAGCCTTAAACACTATTCAATTAAAAGTATTTTTCAAATTTTACTGTCTTGGTCTTTCGTTTCAAGAGCAAGTAAGTAAATAAACACATTGAAGCGGTTACAGTGATATTTGAATTTTTAATAACTGTAGTAATTTTTCGAATCAATTAAGCTTTTTAAAGTTTATTTTCATGCAATTTAAATCAGTTGCAAGAATAAATATGTTCATTTGAAACATCATAAATCACAAAATAATTTTATTTTTGAAAATCTAAAATCTGAACTGAAAGGAACGCATATTTATGAAAATAGTAAACAAAACAAATCGGTATTGGTGTGTTTTAGAAGTTTAAATACACTTTTAGCTTAAAAAAAAGCAACTTAAAATAATGTCTTGTGACTTTTCATAGCTTATATTTATATTATATATCATTTTTAAGACTGTAATTCATATTGAGTTTCAAATTTCCTTTATAAAGCTTTACCATGGCTATATTTTGTAAAGGACTTAGAAGTGAGATGTGAACAATATTCACAATTGTTTGTCACAATATTTTGATTACAGTTTAATTAATGCTTTTATTTTTTAGGTGTCTTTCACCAATCAAGAAATCAATATTTGCCATTTTATCGTTATTTGAGACAGAATAAAATCTCTCAACAATCTCTACTAGTGAAACCTAAGCCATCAGGTTTAAAAATTTTGTTCTTTCTGTATAAATTATTGCTTTTTATGGGAGATTTCCGTATCGTGATCTGTGGCAGAATAATCGCCAACTCTTGGCAACTTCCGGGAAGCGGTACGCGAGAAACTAAAAAAAAAAAATAATCACAGAAAGGGACCAACGAAATGTATAACTCGTAGCCACCCCCGGGCAAACATCTACATGATTTTTTTTTTTTTTAATTTGCATGTTTAAAATCTATTTAGCACCGTGGGGATTGTAATTGGTGTGACAAATCAGGATACAGAAATATAAATATAAACACCAATCCGACGATTTGTAAACAGCATAATTGCATTTTGAATGGATACTTGTGATCTCACTCAATTTTATGTTGTATTTGGAATTGTTATAGACTTGTTCGTATAGTGCTTTTAAAGAGCAAACACGAGTGAAAAGCATTTATTAATGTTAACTTTTTTCTTATAGTATACAGTGTTTTCATCATAGAAAAAAATGGGTGAGAATTTCTCACCCTTTCTCAAAAACAGGGTGAGATTTCAAAAAGTTAAGTGAGATTTCTAAAAACTAAAAAAACACAAAAACTCTTGAAAAAAAAATCATTTCTTTAATTTGTAACGTCTTCTATTTTTTTAAAGCATTGCATATTTTTGGTGCATCATCATAGAAGATTTTGCCTTTAAAAGGTATTTGTCCATCTTACATTAGCACATAAAAAATTTGAACGTCTTACATGAAGAAACCTTACCTACGGTAAACACATGGTTGCAGAGGAATGTGTTCTGAAAGGGGTTCCGTGGTTGTGTTCTGTTGTTCGAAAAGGTTCTGAACAATACTGGTAAATAGGGAAGCTAGATAACGGGACAGATGTTGAAAATAATGAAAGATCCAGGAAGAAAAGTGAAAGGGATTTTATTCTAAATGGCATAGTTCGAAACCTTTTCCAAATGAATGAATTCGCGAATTTTGAAATTGATGTATAGAATGCGCGGTAATCATTTTTTAATGTGAGAAAAGAAAAAATATGCGAGATTCTCACGTTCTTGCGCTGTAGTGAAAACACTGACTATAACATGTTCAACATTATATTGTGAAGAGTTCTCATGTGGAAGTTTTATAGATGTAATTAAAATTAAATCTATTAATGATGGGATTCAGCTGGTATTTTCTTACTAGTTGTTAAAATAAAACTATTTTATTGTTTTATCCTAGAGTTTCCTAGTTGGAAACATTTAAAAAATTATTAATCTTTGATTCGCAAATAAATGAATTTTTTTCTCCCTAATTTAATTATTAATTTATTTTTCTGAAAAGTTGGAATTTTTTTTTAACAGATCTTATCCTATTATCTTGATAAGAATCCTATTATGGGATCTATACTAATAAGGGATTTAACAAACGTCTTTGTATAACAAGAAATTAATAAATGTTTAATAAACATTAATGCATTTTGTTAATAAAATTGATAATATACTATTATATAACATTATTAATGCAACATTAGTCAATAGTTCAACTCTTTCTATTTATCTTAGTGAAAGGGTTAAAGAAAACTTAGGAATTCATAGATTTTATTACATTTATAATTTTGTTTTATTATGGAAAAAATTTGTAGGAATTATCAGTAAACAAGAGATGCTTGCTATATTTTCAATTATTTTAACTAGCAAATCATTAAGAAACTTCAAATGCAATGTTAATTACTTAATTAAAATATATGTATTTGTTTACTTGCCCAAGTGTTTTTACTTAATTTCAATATGCCATTTTTTTCGCAATATTTTGGGAAGCATTGCATATAAGGAGAAGCTATAGTAGGTTTTCAGTTATTATAACTGCCATTTTTCATTTTGCTGTGTATTTTAGAGTTTTCTTCTGGAAATTTTGATTCATGGGACATTTATTTTTTCTTAGTGTTTAGTAGCATTTCTTTTGGTAGCAAGTTTTGTATGCCTAGCTTTCATGTGACTCACTTACATTTAATATGTATTTCTTTTATAAAATAATTCATTTTGGTGTATTTTATATTTTATTTTAAAATATATTTTCATGAATTCTCATGAATGGTGGTATTTTCTATCTTGTATTACAAATATATGAAGTATATTTAAATGTAATTTTATATATTTATTGTTGAATGACTTTTTTTTATCAACTATTTTCATCTCATAGTAATTAATACTCATTTCCTGAGTGGAATAACAAGGATAATAATTATTTTATGCTTATTTTCTGCCACCTACGTTTCTCTATTTTGTGTCAAAAAATTTACTTGGCATGAATTAATATGTCAACAAGTATTCTTGCAGCCGAAGTCCTCCCAGTTTGCATATTCTTATAATATTTAATATGCGTGAAATAATTTTTGATTTTTACCTTTTCAGAAGTGCCTTCTGAAATTGAAATGCCTGACCCCCTCGACCATCCAGACTTCTTTGAAGTTCAGAACCTCTTCACTGTAAAAGATTTGTTTGATGCTAGGGTACATTATGGTCATACTATGGGTACACTCAATGAACATATGAGACAATTTATTTTGGGATCTAGACAAGGAACTCTTATATTTGATTTAGATCAGACTGCTGAACTTCTTAGAGATGCATTAAATTTTATTGCCCACATTGCCTTTAGAGGTGGCATTATATTATTTGTGGCAAGATATAAACAGGTAAATATTTTTTCTTCACTAAATGCATCTGTCTTTCAAACTAATATGATAACATTTTCTTTTTTAAATATTTATGAGTTTAATTAATAAAAATGTAATATTGTAATGTAAAATTGTTATTTTATTTTTAAAAAATTATGATAATGTAAAATAAATGTAATTAAGGTTTTTAATCCATAAAAATGGTTCCATTAGTAATTACTGCAGAGTTACTTTCTCTTTATTGTATTATTCTTTTGTATTATGTATTGTATTTGTATGAAATTTTTTCTCAACATTGCATATAGATCAAATTTGAAAACATGTTCTTAGCAAGAAAATGTTTTCGATTTGCTTGTCCCTATAAATAAAATTTCAAAAATAAATATATAAATCAAAATGAAACGTGTGTGCCTGGACATTTTAATGCTCAAACTATATTGCTCCATGACCTTTAACCAATAATTAATTGGAAATTATTAAATTAGAATAAGTAATTTTATCGCTGTTTTTTTTTTTTTTNTTTTTTTTTTTTTTTTTTTTTTTTTTTTTTTTTTTTAAATTCTAGTTTCTATCAACAATTGCAATTATGACATTGAAAATTTATTAATTCAAGACGTAAAATCTTTTTGATAATTTTTTTTTCCCATTTCAATTTTTTAAAGAACATTTCACCGAGGCATGTTTGAAATAATTCAAAAGTTATTATCAATTGATATACAAGCTGAATTCTTTGTGGTGCCCGAAATCTAAAATGTTTTTCTGTGGCCCTCTTTAAAAAAGATTATGCAATATGCACTCCTATTTTAAATATTTTATTTTTATTATCATTCTGTATTGAGGTTTAGTAAACTGTAAACTTAGTACTGTTTTCTTTTTTGCTTCTTGTTCTCTTGTTTGTTTTCCGTAATTTAAAGTAATTAATAATGAAACTCCATTGTCGATAATTTTATTATGATTTTAAAAAAATTTAAAACAACACTTTTGGGCAACTTAACATTGTCATTCTTTAACTTTTGAAGATTCAATTTAATGTAAAAAATTAACATCATATTTCTTATATTAAATAAAACTTAATAATTACTCTATTAAATATAACTTAACAATTAATCTTTGATCGCCTTACTTTCAAGCGGTTCCTTTTCTAAATTTCTTTTGAAATGGCAAGTAGTTAATTTTTTAAACAGTTTTTAACATTAATTTAAATTGCAGTTCGTAAATCAAAGTTTCTATAACAGCTTTTATCAGAGAAGAAGTGAAAGGTGATAATTAGGTTTACTCTCAAGTTTCGTATTATAGTCAAACAAGTTTTGATATCTTCAGTTCTGCCCTACCCAGTAGTGAATGTAAGATCTCAATAATATTTTTTACTTTTTAAAAAAAAAATCATTTTAAGGATTCTAAAAATATATATCAGCTATATGGCAAAATTAGGAAGTTTTGATATTTGCTAGTAGTTTCATTTCTTAAATTTTTCTTTTTAAAAAGGTGAGAATACTTAACAATTAAAATTTTGATGTTATTACTTTAATTGCATTTCTCGAACAACCTTAACTCTCCAAATAGGTTTATGTAACATTTAAGTATTGTAAGTAATGTTTTGAACCAATAAAATTTAAGGTTTTTGTTTTTGAACCAATAATTTAGCAAAAAATATATGTCTATCAGCAAACATAAAATTTAATAACTTAAAAACAAATCTCGTATGATAGTGAAATTATATTAATTAGATTACTTAAATCTTATTGACCATAAATTTAAAAGAAAAAAAACCAATAAGAAATTACAGGGATGAGATTTTTCTGCTTTTTAGCGGATTTTCGTTTTTTTTCTTTCTTTTGTCTCTTAAATTTCACCGTTTCAATCAAAAACTCCGATTCTCTAAAAATTTCATTTTTTTAAATAAATATTCCGCTTTTTCTGAAAATTCAGTTGTTGAAAGAAAATAATTATATTTATTTCTGATTTTCACAGATAAACAGAAAATTCAAACTACAACGCAGCTGCTAACCCTTTCACATTTTTACTTATATTAGCTATTTTCTCCTCTTTTACGCCCAAAAAATAAGATTTTCTGTGTTTTTACCCACCCTTCAGATAGCTCGTATTTTCGTAATTCAGGCGTAGCTGCTTCCTGTTTGTTGGCACAAAAGCAAACAAAATAATAAATAAAAAATAGCGGTGGATTTGCGGGGAAAATATTTATTTGCTCATTCTATTAACCCTGTACATTTTTATTTATTATGGCTAACCAAAAACAATACAAACAAGCCTTTAAGAAATCCCAAGTCCAGACTCTGCAAATATCTCAATTCTTATTCACGCGATTTTAATATCAATCATCGATTTTCGTATTTACCTGATTTAAAAGTTGCACGTTGCCATTCCTATTCACATGATTTAAATATCGTACATTGCGAAATTTGAAAATCTAATAGTGCAATTTGTATTTATGTATTTTCAAAACCCTATTTAGTGATTCATATTCACTCGAGTTTAAAATTCAATGTTCGTTTATCGGGTTGTAATATCAAACATCGATTTTCATATTTATATATGATTTAAAAATTAGACATTGGAATTCGTATTCATGCAATTTAAAAAATTATACATCGTTATTCATCTTTGCACGATCTAAAAATTACTCATCATGATTTGTATTTTCTATTCCATATATGTATATTCATTATTCAATTTCCTCTTTTTTACTCTCTGACAATTCTCATCCCTGAAATTAACTTGACTCGAATTAAACTGTGAGCAACCTTTGAAATTTTAATTAGCAAATAATAAAGTGATACCATTTAAAAAAATAAAACATAAAGTCTACCATTTAAAAAAATAAAACAAAACATTCAAAATTTGAAGAAAAAAAGGAGAACATCCCAAAATATTTTAATAGGAGTAATCTTATGCTTTTTTTCCTGAAAGAAAATTAAATCTTAAAATAAAGTAATTTTTAGATTTTTGTGAAAAAAGTGAAGATCGGTAGAGAACGATTTTAGCATCTTTTTTCTCTTTTTTAATATTCAATCACCAAGGCAGAAGGTGACTGTTAATTTTACCCTAAATTATAAGCAGTCAAATGTCGAATACACTGTATGCATGCAATTATTGATAGCTTTTTGGTTTAAAATGCTAAATATTCTTTATCATTTTAGAACTCATATATAATTGAGAAGACCGCTTTGGAATGTGGAGAGTTTTGTCACACACGCAACTGGTTCATGGGAACATTTACAGATCCCCAAAGATTTGGTATGATGACTCGCTTGCCTGACCTTACAATTTTCCTAAACACACTGGACAGTGTTTTTGAAATTCACAATGGAGTATTAGAATCTAATAAGCTTCTTATTCCATCGGTTGGCATTGTTGACACAAACTGTTTTCCTAATTACATAACATACCCTGTTCCAGGTAATGATGACTCACCACAGTCAACTGAACTTTACTGTAAACTCTTCAAAGAAGCTATACTTCGTGGAAAAACTAAAAGAAAAGAGTTCATTGAAAAGTATTGTAAGCAATCATGAAAAATTTAACATTTTAATTTGCATTTGTAAATTTATATTATGTTTCTGTTAGTAAATGTTTATACATTAATTTTTTTGTTTGAGTTCTTTCCTGTCTTGTTCATTGAATCTCTTCTGCATCTTTTATATGAATGTTTTCTTAGTTTTTAAATCCATTAATAAACTGTTTCAGATAAGTAAAATTTTACAGTTTTTATTATCTTATTAAATTTTAACAACACTTAAAAATGTTTTTGGGGTAACATTGTTGCATTATTAGCTTTGTACTTGAGATATGCAAAGCTAGAAGCACTAGTGGTCTCCCTCTATTTTCTTTGTGATTTTGTTTACTAGTCTGTAGGCAAATTCTTAGATCAGATGTCGAAAACTAATTTATCTTTTCTGGAGATTTGTTGAGTGCTTACACACACTAAAAGGGAAAGGAAAGCGTTTGAAAGTTATTCTGATTCAGTAATAATACTCAACCAGTATTTTGTGCTTCCTGGTTCTAAAAACTTACTTTGTTCACCAGTTATTAAGGGGAAATTAGTTATTAAGGGGATATGCCACCTTAAAAAAGCAGCCCCTTGAAAATTAATTTAACTATCGAAATCGCATGTAATAAAAGTGGGCAAACTTCAAAATCATATTAGTTTTTATTTTGTAATAAGGAATCTATAATTAAAAAATCCTTTCCTTTTTTTAAAAAATCAATTTTGCTGTCTGCCAAATAAATTAACTTTGCCTATTTAATCCAAGAACAGTTTCAATATGTTTTGCAAAAAAAATAAAAAATAAATAAAGATTTGTTATTTATGTGTGGATAGTTATAACAATCGCTGACTAATCCATTCTGCAAAACTTTGTAACAAATTTAATTAGAAAAATGCATGATGTCTAAGTTACTTAATTGTATTGAGTACTCATTCTTGCATAATTTAAACCCCATCACTTTTCTCATTGTGATAGAATTGAAAACTAGGATTCATCTTATATGTTGTGTCAGTGTTTAAATTGAATTCTACATTGAACAACTGAGCAAAGTCAGTTAGATGTACTACAATTATAAATGGCCCCAAAACTGCAAAAGCCTCCAAATCAAAAGTTCTTTTTTTTTCTTCTTATAAGTGTTGGTAGAGATGTTCTGAATATGTTTAACATTAAATGCCATTATAAGTTAAACTGCATACGATTACGTCTTGTCAAATAGTTAAAAGATAACATCAGTTTTTTTGCTAGTTTACAGCTTTGTTTCATCTAAACCAAGTTTTATTGCATGTTCTTTAATATATATATATTTTCTAATTCATTATGTCAGGTAAACTGAAAGATCAACATGGAGAGCATGACAGGGCTATGTAACTAAATTATTACTTTTAAAGTTATAAGAGGTCACACATATATTTTGTTTACAATTCATTTGAAATGTACTTCTAAAACACTAAATAATTTCAAATCAATAGTAGTTAGAACAACAACAAAAATTAAACTGTATACGAAAGAAAGAAAAAATTTATGAAGTAAATTGCATGATTCTGGTAAATTGTGACTATATTATGAGTTAAATGAAATCAATCAATAGTATTATTTTTCAGGGTGAATGTTACGGAGTATAATTAAATTTTATTTTATAATGAGCTAAAATCATCTTTTGCTTAATTTCATATTGTAAAGTCTTCAGGAAGAGTAACAATAATTGGAAATTTTTTAAGCTTAATTAATTGTATCAGTATATGCCTTACAGTTTCACACATGTTTTTGTAGTTTTGATTAATACCGATTTATTGAAACATCATTCAAATCATCGATTTAAAAATTTCTCTTGTGTTATATTGTTCTCTGTGTAGGATTGTTTTTCGTAGAGAAGATGATTTGTATTAATATTTTGTAAAATTTCAACGCACTTAGAATTTATCATATTTTTTTCAAACTTTTAAATATCTAACTCTGATAAGCTCTTTTTAACTCCTGTTGACTAAATTTTAAATAGGAAATCTTTTGATTTATTGGGTTTTTTTAAATTGCCATTAAAACATTCTATAAAGTAATTACTTTCTTTTAAATTAGCAAAATAATTTATTCAAACTTTTTAATAGTTTTTACTAGGTTAAGCCAAAATTGTGAACCAAAAAAAGTAATGTAACAGAGAGGAACAAATTTTCATTTGTTTTCTGTTGCAAGAGATTATTAAAGGATCTTGGATATTTTCACATAGCTGATACCAAATAAATCGGTTTCTCCCGGTTTAACCGATTTTTTAAATGACATTTTTAGTCTATTTTTTGTTGAAATGTACAAGCTTAAAAACTTTGCATACAACAGGGGATTGCATAAATGATGTAGCATACTTCAAGGGGAGTTAAAGGGTACATAATCAGAATAAAAACTGCGTTCGAACCCATGCCGGGAAATGCTTTTTTTTTTTTTGCTGGGGGAATTTCCCTATCCTGAATTGTTCCTTCGAGTGCTTTTCTCGAGCAATTTCTTGTGTTTTAAGAATATTGCATTTTATTATTAAAAAAAAAATGTTGGAACAACATATCGTATTTTTTTTTAATCATATTATGTAAGCAAAATGAAATATATTTTTGACCTTGTGGAGCATTTTTTGAAAAAGCAAGCGTTCTTGTAACCTTGAATCTTTATTGTCAGTCCAGAAAATAACAATTGCATTACCTGTAAAATTTTGAATTAATGATGAAATAATGATTCGAATTTTTTTATGAAACATATTGTATCTCAAATATTGATTTTTTGTTTCAAGATTTTTATGAACTATTTATTTACTCTTCATTTGCATTATAATTCACGTTTTCCTTAACACTGCATTTATCAAGCATTTATGAATTTGGAATCTCCTATTGGCAACTTCTTAATTGTTTTCTAACATCTTCATTTGAGGTTTCCAGGGCAACTTGACTTTATAGCGCTTGTCGTGATACGAAATACCTATTTCAGAGCTTTTCATTATCTCTTCTTCAAATCCTCTGAAATAATTCCAGGATCTCAGAATATCTTCAACGTATCATAAATAATATTTTCTTCTCTTTCATAGTTAATAATGTATTCTTTATATTTTCTTGTTCAAAAAACCATCATTGAAACAGTGTTCCTTAAGCAACAAGTTTACTATTGCAGTCTTTTTAATCTACCATTAACTATATTGAAATAGAAATCTGATTCAACTAAAATAACTATCGCACTGTCTTTAAAGTTATAGGAGTCAGTTAACTGTAGATTTTTTAATTGTTTGAAGCTTTTAGAAAGATTGATGTCAGATATTGGTATATAGGAAACCGAAATGTGATACGTATCTAGTGCCTTAATTTCAATATTTAATGAAAGTTCATCTCTATTTTCTAGACTAATTTTAACTAATTCATAATTCCGTTCTGCTGTTTCCTTAATACCCAAAGCATATGCAGAAAGTTTTGCAGTTCCTATTATATGAAGTTTTAATTTCTGAGAAACGGTACCGTTTATAAAACTCCTCATCGACCCACTGTCTAGCAAGAGTCTAATTGGTTCTTTTTCTTTGTTTAAGTTCGATTTAATCAATGCAGTGCATGTGCGCAACAAGACCCCAGAAACTTTCGATACCGAATTGTTTATAATATTTTCATGACAACGGGAAACGACTGTTAAAACTTTATCCTCGTTTGATTTGTCGAACTGAAAACAAATGTCGCAAAAATCTTCCCATCTTTTATCTGATGATTTGATTGTCGTTGTAAACACTAAAAACTACGCGCTTGTTTTTTCTTTTTAAGAATAACTCTTTTTTTTTTGCATCTACTGTAATTTTAATGTGAAACTCTGATTGCTGTAAGTACAACTATTTTCTGAAATCGTAGCTTTTCCCACATTATTTGAAATGAATGAACGATTACTGTTATATCCCACACTATATTGATGCTTTGAACTAGAATGATTATTATTTAGTATTTTTTCCCGGTCAATTATAGATTTAATGGACGATTCCCTCCATTCAATATCAACTTTAGGAAATTGTAATTACTGTGTAACATCAAATCCACTGGTTTTTTTATTTAACCGTTTTATATTAAATTAAAGGGATAATTCATATGGTATTAATTTTAATAAAATAGATACAGTTAGTGTCCATACATTGCAAAAGTTTCATCCAAGGATTCTAAACAACGAATTTGAACTTTACAGGCTACGTATAACTTCCTTAATTCCAAAACAATACTGATATATTTAACAGGGTAGAAATTTAATAACTTTTTTGTGTGGGAATTATTACAAGATCGTCCCTTCAAAATCTTTTTTTAATAACATAAGGGCTTCTTCATATTTTCTTTTTCTTCAATGCAAACCCAGTAACAACATTAGCTACAACCCCATCTTACAATGATTTCAAATATGAATAGTCCCGATAGTTAAGACACGGGTCCCAGCAGATCACCGAAGTCAAGCATCACTGGCTGCGGTCAGTGTGCGGATGGGTGACCACTTGGATCAGTCTGTGTAGGGACCGAGGGTGTGCGGTATTGGTCCTCGTTAAACTGTTCTACCGTAAAGTGCTCGATTTCACATACAGGTCGTCGGGCTGCTGAAGCGGGGGTGCCATCCCCTCTGCAGAGGATCAAAATTGTGATGGCATGTCTTCGGATCATCCTCAGGGATGTTTCCCCGCCCGTCGCCAATAGCTCATTGCTCAGCTCTAGTGCTACGTAATTGAACTACAACAACAAATCAAATATGAATAAATTATTATTTTTATCAGTGGAGTTATATTTATTCCAAAACTCTAACCAACAACATAGATCAGATTGCATTTATTTATCAATATTTAATTTCGGCAGTTTAATATTCTGAAATTGGGGAGTACATGGATCCTCCACATTATTGTTTTAATTAAATTGAATTTTATTAACGTTATTATAACTTCATTCCTTTCAAGTTTTGATCTAAGTTTTCATAGTCTAGCTGTTCGAAATCAGTTTTTAATTTATTCAAACATGGCTCGAATCACGCCTCTTATTTTTTTCGATTCATTATTTCATGTCTTTTAGTTCTCATTCTCATATTAGTTCATTTAATGCTCTCACAGTATTCAAAATATTA